TGCCTACCAACTATCCCTCCAATCGCTGGTGGGGGCTCCACCAACACGGTAAAAGTTTCTACCAGGAATGCAGAAAGAATCATGATGACTTGTTGATTCTCAGCACATTCTTTCGCGATAGTTCAGCTAACTTACGTTAGATACCGTAATGATCAAGTACGATCTATTCGTGATGCAATCGTTTCCTCAAACTAGCACTAGCACTGTCACTGCTGCAACGGTTCAGTTCACAGTATAGTAGGTACCACGATTTCTGTTTAAAACACCACATTAAGTCACTACGGTTGCGCTTGCTGCACTATCGAGTGTATAGGAACGAGACGAGCTGTTCACTCAGCAAACGATTGCGTCCTCTCAACACGACGACGACGACGGCGGCTCAATCGCAGGCTATGACGCCGTACAGTCCAGAAAAGGTACGACCCGTTCGCACTGCTAAGCCTACTGCTGCTACTTAACATGTATAATGATATGCTGCCCCACCTTTGAGCCGTATGGACTCGCTCTCTCGCGCACGCGATCGACCACACTAGGGCTGGCAGTAACGGTTGACTTGACACTATACCGATTGCTCGTGCAGCGATCGCGTCCATCTGGTAGCCCTAAAGTACGTATACTGACGCTCTGTGAGACGGGCAGACTGGTTTTCTCCAGCCAGTGGACGCGCTCTCCTCGATCGGGTAGGTCTCTACATTCAAACACGAATCAGCTGTGAGCGGCATGCGGAAAACACTAGGCCCCAGCAGCCAACGAGCGACGTGACAAGCCGAATAGTGTGCGCTCGAAGTGGATCGCAAAAGTAAAAGCAACCTCGCGGTTGGTCTGCGCCTCTTGGGGTTACGCGACTAATATCCTAGGTAGTGAGTCGGGGGGTACATCGAAGATTGCATTAACGCAGATAGGTTATCAATGTTTACCCATTTAGGTCAACATTTGTGCGTGTTATGAACTTCGCTTTCAAAATTTAGTCACATAATCAGATAAACTTAGAACTACTGAAAATTTAATGAACATTGAATTACCAACATTTTGTTTCCCACACTGTAAAACAACGTTATTATGCACCATGGTTCAACGGTAGTCAGAATAACTAGTTGACTGACGTAATACATCAAGCTTGTACAGTTACTGTACTCTCGCAATCGACCTGTTAATTGTGCATATTGGCAGAGTGACCTATCTTATGGTCCTAATCAGTAAATTTAAGCTGGAATAAAAAATGCATAGCCTAGTTTGTGTGTCTTTTATCAAATGAACACCCAATTTTTGTTTGAATACGTCAACGGTCAACATTGAAATTGCATATCTAACAAAATGACCATCGAGAAGCCATTAAGCTGCTCTATAGATCAGAAGAGCAGTTCAAACAACTATGTTACCGTTGATTGTTTAACGGCCATTATTCTATTCTATGAAAAACCATACTGTCCTCTCTTATTTAATCCTCTTGTTCAATAACTAACCACTTTCAAACGATTGACTCTCCACCTCTTCCTCCATATCCAAGCAAGCCACGCCGCATGATGCTGGGTTGCAAAATTTTCACTTCACTTCACACCCTACGCCAACTTTGTTCTCCCGGCTTCACCCGATCAATGCACTCGCACAAACTGAAATCGAATTCCCGTGGAACGTAATCCCCTCGCATAGTTTTCATTCATACTGAAGCATCCTAGGAAAAAAAATGAACAGATTTGTCGTCGTCAATCGTTACCGCACATTCGCTGGGATAATCTAATGCTCGGTGCCTATCCCTTGGTTGCAATGGTGATCAACCGGTTAGGCAGTTGATTAAATTTTTAATTAATTCAATTGATTTGCGGAATAGCTCCAATAAATTCAATGCTATGAAATGAGGCGACAAACTTGTACGAGGTCACAGTCTTTCTGCTTTCCACTGTGATCTGTCGGGAATGATACCAACGAAGAGATGTTATATGAAACTACTATCTCCTGATAAACCAGTCTACCTGTTGGCTTCCTCATCAAACTGAGAACTTAACATCCGACTGCAAGTACATGGGTAGTACATTCTCACTTGCGACGACTGGTGAAGGGAATTTGATTGGAATATTTTTCGCGTAGTCTCCAATTTCCAACGAATACTTGCGTCAAACTGTCTATAGCTATATTTTCAATAGGCGATGTGACGGAGCACTCTTTAAAAGCGGTGTTTAATATTCATTAGGCAAATCGTGCTAATAACGAAGTACAATGAATGTTATCGAGGGCAACTAAACTGAAAAACTAACCAGGGGTAGTTCTGAAACATTTTGAGTACATTGCTTTCTTGAATCGACAGAGAAATGAAACGACGTCAATTATATGTAGATGATGGATCCCCTATTGGTGCTGCGTTTCTATACAGTATGGCTGGTTGACACCCCGGGCGGGTGATACGCGTGTCAGCCACTAATTGTGATCATAATAAGCATTTATTCTGGAGCAGTGCGGAGGAATGACTTATTTTACTTAATTTTGAATCGCGATTAGATTTAAGTGAACTAAAGGAGAAAAATCGATACAAATCTCTAATAAGGAAAAATTTCCAAAGGCTGGTAACCATCATAATGAAGTGATGATATTAGATTAAATTGAAGTTAGATTTTGATAAGTTTTTTAGTTGGAATGACACTGATATAGTCGAAATACGTATCTGTCATGGATACCAAAATTAATAAAGTGGAATTAAATGCAAGATACCCTTTTTTGCTGTTTTATTTAAAGCATTTCGCTAACAACTCAATTTCATTACTTCATTATGATGGCTACCAAGCCTTTGGGAATTTTTCTTTATAAGAGATTTGTATCGATTTTTCTCCTTTAGTTTACTTAAATCTTTGGTTTTGGAATTAGGTAGGTTCCGATTATAGGTTTGATAAGTTCTTTAGTGAAAATGAAGATGAAGAATGAACATTGTATTCGAAATACGTATTTCTCATGGATACCAAAATGAATTAAGTGGAATTAAATAGAAGATAACCTTTTTTGCTGTTTTATGTAATTTTAAAACTAAATTCATACCTATGAAAAGCATTTGCTGGTATAAGTTAGAGAGGTATTTGTTTGAGTGTCAACATATTCAAGTTTATTGGTTAAAATTTACCAACTTTCCCCCGTTTTATGGTACCAGAATTTCTTGGAGTTTTCAGGAGTTCTAAGTGTTTCTGAAGATCGAAAAATTTCTTGAAATACTGAAGTTTACCTTTTAAAGACTCAAGATATTTAAGAATTGATTAAGAACTCCTCCATATTGCTTGAGCTTCGGTAAAAATAACTTCAGATTTGAAAGGTGCTGGATGAATTTTTGAGTTCCGGAAAAGTTCAAATTTTCATGAGTTCAAACGTTTGCTAGCGTTGCAGTGGCTCCCGGAGTTCGTTCAGTTTTTATTATTCCAGGAGTTTTAAAATTTTTATAGTCGTTGATTTTAAAATTCTCATGAAGGTCCATCAATTTGCAGGAGATCGAGAAGTTTCTGGAAGAAGAAGAATTGTTGGAAGTGTAAAAGCTCCCACATCACTATTACTAAGAGATCTCAGGGATTATAAGTGTTTCTGCGAAGTTTATGGAGACCTGTAGTTACTGTGGAAGTATTGAATGATTTTAACGTATAAATTCCCAAGAGTTAAGAGTTGTTCGATTCCCTGAAATTCTTGTGTTTACGTGTTCTACGGTTCTTTTATGCGTAGACCTTAGAGTAACAGAATTTATTAGAATGACCAGGAGCTCTAAAGTATACTGGAGATCAAAATCCTGGACTTCTTAGAGATGCTGGATGTTTAAGAAGTTCTCAGAGTACAATCATTCATTGTAGTTCTAATCGTTGTTCCCTGATTCGTTTCTAATAGTTCGTTAGAATTACTGGAGCTCAATAAGTTCCTAGAGTTGTGATAGTTTTAGCTGCTCTTAATATTCAGAAAGCTCTGTAGTTATTTTTGTTTGTAAAAGTTTTGAAAAAGATTAAAATAAAAGGTTTAAATTCTAAGGATTGATAAAGATTTGATAATTCCTGAATTGTTCGCAATTTCCATAGTTGTTTGGGTATTCCAAAAATACTACCCTGCACCCTTACCAAGCACAGTGTCGTCTGTTTATATATTTAACATTTTTTTTCTGGATTGTTAGTTTTCAAATATTCTATCTAAAAACATGATCAAATTTTCCAACCTCCCGTTGATTACCCATTTGAATGTTGTATAAAGTGAACACCGATCTTTTAAAATTTTCTACGAAACCTATGCGCTTTTTTCAGTGGTCTTATTGCACCATAGCATACCTTTCATTAATCTCAAATATGGATTAGAATGATTTGGATTTACGGTTATGTGATGCGTGCAGGGGCTGACAAAATTGGGTCATTACTGTATATTGAACTAAAGCGTTGATTTGTATTGTCAATTTAGAGAAAAATAGCCTCCTGTGTCAGAATATTTGACAACCTTAGATTTAAAAGCATCCTGCCACTGTCACTTGGAGTGTTATTTTTATCTCTGAACTGTCAATAATATCCTCTTACAAGTTTTTTTTTACGAGAAATGTAATGATACTGTAGCGTACTAGTAGTTTTTCTCCAAATAATAGTTCGTATATTACGCGGGACCAAAATCCGTTTACCTAAGGCCCCTGGCATAGCTGGTGCCCAAGCGGACAAAAGATTTAATAAATAATTTTTATTCCTTTGGCTGGTCAGCTCGGTCAAGCCGGTGACTTGACAGGGGTCTAAGAAATGAACCGAAATCCGTACACCTTATACAAAGTGCCTATTTTTTGTATGAGATGTATGGGTCCCACATGTAAAAACTTGAACAAGATTATTTTCCAGGTCGGGCTATATTTCGCGAAGAAAAATAATTTATTGAAACCAATATCACCATACCGTATAAATACTTTTATTATCTTTAACGACAACATCGTCTTTTCATCTTTTCGATTGCAAAAACAAACTTTCAAAAAGTATTAGGACAAACGACTAACAAATTTTTTCTCTCCTCATTTCCAGCAAACTCAGCCAACGGCGTCGCTCGGAAATCCGGAAGCCAGATGTTGCATGCTACATGTGTAACGCCAACATTGAAGTCGAGGACACAAACAGGTAAATAACTGCCTTGAATAGAAAAAAAGTTGGCCATCATTAGGTCACGTTTATTGATTGATTCTCAAACCAACAGTTTCGCAACATGTCGTGGTTGCGAGCGACTAGTGTGCCGGAGCGAGGGAAAACAATGCAGCGAGTGGATCCCTGCGATCGGCATTTGGGAGTGTCAAAATTGTCACTCAAGTCGGGTGATCCAGCAAAAAGCAGGCGAGTGGTTGCTAGGTCAACTCACCAGCCGATTGCAGAATCCCGGTCCAGTGAATTTGAAAAACGATGGCCTTCTTGGATTGACTGCTACCGGTATGTTGTCATTTATTATGCTTGCATAACTTTTTGTTAAGGGTAACTTTGAATCATTTTTCAGACTCAGATGATGCCCAAAGCTCTACGTCCTCGATTTCTTCGAACCAAAAGGTCAAAGTTCGGGAGTTCGTCGAAGAGTTGCTTTCTTCGATGTTAAATGGTCCGTTGGATGACGTGCCCGTTGGGCAACTCATGAAGAACGATGGCTGTAAGTATTGCATATTTCTTTGCCCTAACCATTCGTTAGCGAACTAACATTGAATTACACCTAACACTGAAAATCGAACAAGTGCCTTTTTAAGCTAAAGGTAACAATTTAGCATACCTGTAGGCGATGTTCCATTCATTTCATTTACCACGCGTTCCACTTCCCACAGATATAAAGTTGTTCCACAGGTATCATTCACGTTTGAGCAGGTGTCTGTACAATCTGGAGCTCTCGATACATCAGTCACTGTCCGGTAAGAGAGTAACAACCATTTACACTTGCACGAGAGAGAGAGAATTGTAGTGAGCACACTCTGTCGTTAATGCTGTTGCCGTTGTCTGTCTGTGTTTATGTTTGGCTAGTTATCTTTGATTGCACCATTTAAACAGCACGTGCATGTTGAACTTCACCTCTTTCTGTCCTCGAGTTGTTTCCCATAGATGTCTACCGAGTAAGCTACGCTGGCAGTGGGACCAGTGTTTACGCGGTAAATTAGTTTGATTTCTGGCAATCGAAATCGATTTGAGCAACGTTGCTTAAATTTGACTGATCAAACTGATTTATCGATTTGTCCGTGCTACATTTGAGCATTTTATCAGAGAAAAAATGTGTCCACCACCTGTAACCGCATAGTGACATTCATTTAAGTTGTATGTATGAAAGTAGAAAACCAACTGACGCTGAAAGCTCAACATTTTACTCGTGCAAATTGAATGCCATTTTTTGTTCACAAGCCCGATGGAATTTCTACATTGATGCAGCTTTTTCAGGGGGAACAGAAAAGTAAAAATCTTTTTTTTTTCGTTAACTGCCTTTTCACTGTAGGTCATAAATAAGTGTCCAAAAGAGCCATCGTGTCACAAACAGCTTCATAAAAAAAAAAAAAACAATCTGCATGAAAAGCATGCTGCTCGCTCGTTGCTTGTTAGTTCAGACTTCTGTTTTTTTCGCAATAGGGTAGTGCTTCTTAGTGACATTAAATTTCAATACATTTTCAGAAAAAATAATTCGATAAATTTCTGAATTTTATATTCTTTATGTTCTTGATTTTTTTTTTATTTTGATTAGCAAAATTATTAATCATGGATATTTTGCTAAACAGTACTGTGTAGTTGATTGATATTATGTATATACATTATGTATATACATTATGTATTGATAAAGTCCCCTCGAATATTTCAATCGTCACATTCTGATTCGTTTGTTTTCTATGTCTTGAGAATTAAAAAATCACCAATCTTGAAATTAATTTCGAAATGCTTCAAAGGCTCAAAATCCTAGTTGAATGTTTGATTCTGTAAATTATTCAAAATTCACAGAATCCTTGGCTTTGAAGAGCTTTTGAGACCATGGACTTAAAAAGATATCAAAACTCTAAGACGGCTGTCTACTTAGTATCTAGGTTTTATAAATTCTTATTTTTTCCTGTTAATTTAGTTATTTATTTGTCGTCAATCAGTGTAGACCGTTTTACAATTTTACTTAAACGCTAATTGTTACAATTTTACTTCAAGTATTTGCATAACATTTATATTTTATTATTGATGCCTAGCTAACCTCGTGAAGAAAGTTTTTTAAGCGTACTTTTATTGATTGTTGTGTCAATATATTCACAGTATGTATTATAGCAAGACATCATTCTATTCAGTGGGCTGTTTTTGGCATAGTCTGTTCTTTGATAGTTGATGCTAAACAAATTTCTATTCCGCAGTGAGCGAGAGGGAGCATAAAAATTTATATTTTCCAAAATCTCTGGGCTGTTAACTCTTTGCGAAATCACATCGTTTATAAAAGCAATCATTGCGAACTCTCTTCGCTTTTTGAGCTCATCTAAATTAATAAGCATACAATGCGATTCATAAGATGGAAGTGGAAAACTCGTCCAACCCAACTTTCTTAGAGCAAACAACAAGAACTGCTTTTGAACTGATTCAATGCGGTTTACATGTGTATCATGATATGGAGCCCAAACTATGCTGTGTTTTTATTGTGTAGGGATCATTGAAGTGCAAACTAAATCTTTTAATGAACCCAAGCATGTTGCTTGCTTTGTAGATAATGTTATTGTAGTGATCAGCAAAAGTTAACTTGGTGTCGAGGATAACACCTAAGTCTCTGACTTGATAGGATCTCTGGATTGTTTTCTGGCCAAGAGTAATTGTGTTGTGTATTACAGCGTGCTTTCTTGTGAACGATATAGAATTGCATTTATTAATATTTAGTTCTAACAAATTTTTCTAACACCATGTGTAAAAAACGCCAATTTCATGTTGAAATATTTGAAGATCAGGTGCTTTAGATATCTCCATGAAAAGTTTCATGTCATCAGCATATATAGAAACATGAAGAAATTTAAAAATATGTTCTTTATCGTTGACAAATAAAATAAACATTAATGGACCAAGATGTGAACCTTGTGGCACACCAGATGTTACATTAACTATGGTGGACAGATTTCCTTCAAATGATGATACCCAGCCCTTTAGAAGAAGCCCCAGATAGCCTAGTCAGTAAAGGCACGGTATTACCAAGCTGGAGGCGGCAGGTTCAATTTTCGGTCTGTTCGAGGAAATCTTTTAGGTTGGAAATTTTCCTGATTTCCTGGGCATAGAGTATCAGTATGCTTGAGACACAATATACAAACTCATGCATTGGTTGGCATAGAATGTTCTCAATTAATAACTGTGGAAGTGCATCTAGAACACTAAATTGAGAGCTGGCCAAACGCTCGCTACAGATGCGTAAAAAGCCTTTCAGCCTATCATTAGCGAGAACTTCATGGCCGGTTTGCAAACTATACCTAGGTGGTTTCTAGCAACACTGCCAATGCAATCAAGATAGGCGCTGCTCGATTGGCTCTGGCTTTGACAGGTCGTTTGGCCCAAAACCAGCCAGTCCGCTCCTCTCTTATACTAGACCCTCTCTACTCAAATAACAATTTTGGTTTTATGAGAGTTCTTGGGTAGTTTACACTAGTGCTGGTTCATAATGCTGATTAACCATAATTGGAGTAAACCGGTAAAGTTCGTGCCTGAAATGTTGATGCCTCATCAGTTGTGAAAAACATCATGCTGACAAGCTCCAGCACTAGTAAAACAGCATAAGTGTTAACGGACACCACAATGCAAGCTAAATTGCCAGATCCAAGCATGAAGTTCCAAAACATATTTATATGAAAAACATAGTTAACAGCGACAATTTATTTTTATTTATTTTTTACCAGATTTTTAAACATGGTTCACCTTGGGAACAGCGACGGTTAATGGACTATCAAACAATATAAAATAATGCTGGAAGTTGGTAAAAATTGTGAGAATAGGATTTTATATATATTGACACTTCCTTGATATGTTATCCGTCGATATATTTTTTTAAATTCTTTATTATGGAGATTTTTAGCCTATGGCTAGTTTATCTCCGGAATTCGTCGATCTAACTCGACGAGTAGCTTTACAAATTTAACATTTCAATGAAATTTTAGAATCCCGAATGATCTTAGTAAAATGTAAAATAACCTAATGCTTGACGTACATAAATTCCAATATTGCATGTTGTAATTTTCTAGATTTTAGAAGATGACAAATTTTAGAGGTTGTTGTTATTTTCCTCATAAACTATCATCGAAATACAAGAGCCTCACAGTAAATAGTTTATGTTTCTATTAAGGCCGGTAAGCATATGTTTATCCAGTTTTTTTTTAAATATGATATAACGAGTTCATGTATCTTTTACGGGAAGGTTATTATTGAATTTCCAGGGAAAATTTTGAAAGGAAAAAGAATCCTAGTATAAATTTTACATCTAATGGACACAACAAGACTTTTGAAGAAAGTCACGGGACTATCCTAACCTTACCGAATCTCACCTATAATATATAGCACCTCTAATCTTCTCATGAAACTTTATTTCACCACGTAGATCTAGTAGACCCTTGAATTCCCTAAGGAAAGTTTCCAATATTCTGTGGATACTCCTTGTATGTAACCTTAGGAGGAAGATCCTAAATGTTTGCATGTTTTACGCTGAAGGTCATCAATTCTTAATAAATAGCCATGAGGAAATAATTTTCAAAAATCCAAAAAGGACTTAAAAGTGTGTGTGAAAAATGTACCTTCACTGTTAACTTTCATGCTGGGTGAAACGGATTGAGGTCTGTATCCGAATAATTTAAGACCTGAATCGAGCAAAATCTAACCATGAAAATTATTTCTCTAAACGTTTGCATAAAAAATGGTTAATTATGCTTCTCCCTTCTCTTAAACGAATCTTCAAACGTAAACCAACAATCGAAGAGTCATGATTAGGCTTTACGCAAAATGTAGTTTGTTAGAGCTTGTTGCCAACCGAAGGCTATGAATCGATTATTTCAGCGCTGGCAACGTTGAAAATAAATCTCTCCGCATCGCCCAACTGTTATGTAAGGAAAATTGTTGGATGAACTGAATTCTGTCCAATCAGATGTCAACGATTATATCATATTATATTTCCATTGCAATTTAGGTTTATCCGAACTATTAAAATTGTAATTTCGTATCGAATTTCGAATTACAAAAATTGTTCTCTTTATTAAAATTGTAATTCAGCACAAGAATTACACGTTCCAGACCATCTTCATTGTCTTAGAAATAAAAAAAAATACTTAGTTTTGCCCGATTGGATATTCAAAATCAAATTAAATTATTATTTAAATTACGCTAGTAATTTTTTTATACATTCTTGGACATTTTTTGGCAAACCATGAGTAGTTTTTCTAAACTAGTTGGTCATTAAAGCCATGGTTATTGAGCTACAAAGCAATACCATGTTAGAGGTGGCTGGATCCGAATCCCGGTCCGGTCTAGGAATTTTTCGGATAGGAAAATTTCTAGACTTCCCAGGGCATAGAGTATGATTGTACTTGCCACACTGATTGTACTAATGCAAAAATGGTACAGGCATCAAAAGCTCTCAATTAATAACTGTGGAAGTGCATCTAGAACACTAAGTTGAGAGCACGCAATAAGCTAATATGCGATAAGCAATAAGCTTGAAATGCGTAGAAGGAGGTAGAGCTAAAAACTTGCCGAAGATAGCATTAAGGTAAACAGTCAAATGAAAAAGTTGGGATTGAAAGTGTGTGTCCGTTTTATAACTTGAGCAGTCCTTAATGAAAATGATCAATAGTCACACATAATGCTGCTTGGTTAATCAGTCTAAGCTGTACCAAATAACTTGCTGGCCGGTCGATAATTACCCATTCTGCTTGATTCTTTC